TTTTGGGGTTTGGGGTGTAGGGTTTCGGGGGTTATAGGCCCTTATTCGGTCCTCTGTACATTCTTGTCGCTTGTGTGGGTCCAATTGTATTACGGAGCCTTACCGCAAGGGTAAGAAACCCGAAAAGGGTCCATACGTTCGAGAATCCCACCCCCCCCCCCGCCCCCACACATGCGGCTTTCCCAAAACCCCACTAGGCCCTCCAGCAACCTGGGTGTTTAGGCTGTAGGGCTTCGGGAAGTTTAGGGCATAGGCGGCTGAAAATACGGGTACGGGGTTCCTGTAAGAAGGATGATAGTATTTTGGGGTGGCCGGAGGCGGGAAATGCTCATAAAGTCCTTCATCCGAAGTACCCTCCCACATGACTTTCGCTTAATTGTTAGAGTTTTGTCTTGCTAGAGGCTTGTATAAGACCTCTACTGCTTATAAGAGGCTTGCAGAAATAGTAGCTACGCGCCTGTAACTGCGCCATTTCCTGATCTTGTCGAGAGTCCTAAATCCCCACATTATCCCCACTAGCAGATTTATATGGTGCCAAGGCGGCAGGGGTCCAGCTTTGTTAAGCGTCCTTCCCTTACGCTCCAATGCCCGACCCTGAACATTGCGTAAGCAGCCCTTGGTTGGAGCCCAAGACATGCCCTGCTTCATCGTATCAGAAGCCCCTTTCGTCGACATTCTGAGGGTAGAGGTAGCGAAGCATCTAAAGGCGCTGAGATCGCAAGACTCCAAAACAGACGAACAGTGCACAACTCGGACCATGCACAACTCCCGGCCTTTCCTTGCCGGTTTCGAGGCACAAGAAAGCCCATGCCGAGAAGGAGGGGACGAGAAAGAGTCGGAGCTATACAGTTCTTAGGGACTGGGTAGCTAACCTTTAACCTTTTTGGTTGTATAGAACCCTACTAGATATGAAAGGTTCACCTGTTTTGGGCTAGGGTATTCGGCCCCTAAGGGTTGTGATTGCGATGTGCAGGCTTGATAGTTTAGGGTTTAGGGTTTAGGGTTTAGGGTTTAGGGTTTAGGGTTTAGGGTTTAGGGTTTAGGGTTTAGGGTTTAGGGTTTAGGGTTTAGGGTTTAGGGCTTCAGGGCTGGAGGGCTGGAAGGCTTCGCACCTGGAAGGCTTGGGCACAGTCAGGCAGTGCTATATGGGCTTGTTCCATTATCTGTAGAAACGGACCCGAAACTTGTAGAACAACTTCCCACATATGGAAAGATGTAGTGTTGTAATCGGGCCGGCCAGTCGGTGTCTACCATCGTGCCCGTAAACCGACGAGCAGCCGTACTGTTGCTAGCACCTTCTGCGCGTGCATTGCGTGCAGGAGTTTCCGAATACCTCCTACTCGCGAGATCGATTGTCTATGAATCCTTGCTGTGTGCTGTGTGCCCCTCTCACCATAAAGTGTCTTGCCAGTTGTGATGTCAGTCGAAGCCCCACGCGGAGCACGCGAAAGCGAACGCCGCGGGCCGCGACAAGTCGGCCAAAGACGCGCCGGCGTTGGCGAAAGAGAGGCACGAGAACAGATCGGCCGAACACGCGCTGGCATCGTAGCTTGGCTTAACGGGCCCTGACGGATCGGGTTTCACAGAGTTCGGTCTGTTGTCGTAGCTTGATGGGAAGGCTATTGAAGTGTTCACGTCACGATGTTTTTGGAGTAGTATGTCTGCAGAGTCTGGCGGACTTACTCCGATCTTTCTTCACGAGTGCAGTCAGTGCGAGTTTAAAGCCCGCCTAATCCCCGAAGCCTCATCCCTGAGCAGTAGACTGTAGAGTTTCCGAAGACGTGAACACCGTCAAGCCGGCAAATGTGAGAAAACACATTTCTGTCGACAGTCCTTTGAAGGCTGAGTGAACGTCTGGGCCATCTGAAATGTAGCATGGGCCAAGCTTCGCTGAATGTGGTTCCCTTTTGGCTCCACCGTGCAAACCCTTCCAGCTGCACAAGCAAGATTGTCTCGGTTTCATCGTATCAGGAGTTTTCTGAGGAGTTTCTGGCAATTTCTGGTAGTGAAGCCCCCCGCAAGACCACACGGACAGTGCAAAACTCCTGGCACCCGTTTTTGCCCTTGCCGGTTTCGAGGCCAAAGAAGGTCCCTGCCGAGAAGGAGGGGTCGACAAAGAGTCGGAGCTTGATATGGAACATGGGGATGAAGTTGTAAGCGGCTTTCTGGTTGTTTTTTTCAGCGGTTGCCAGCGTGCCCCCTTGCACAGTGCACCTACGAGCGGCCGTACTTGTGGTAGCAAGTGACGAGATCGAGTGTCCATAAATCCATAAAGCGTCATAGTGTCTTGCCAGTTGTGATGTCAGTCGAAGCCCCACACGGAGCACGCGAAAGCGAACGCCGCGGGCCGCGACCAGTCGGCCAAAGATGTGCCGGCGTTGGTGAAAGAGAGGCACGAGAACAGATCGGCCGAACACGCGCTGGCATTGTGGCCTGGCTTAACGGGCCTGAGGGATCAGGCTTCACAGAGCTCGGTCTGGAGTCGTAGGTTGACGGGAAGGCTGTTGAAGTGTTCAAGTCCCAAAGTTGTTGAAGTACGGTGCTACTTCAGCCTGCAACCTCGACTAACTTTCCGGGTGCATACTAATGGCAGTCTGTATGTCAGCAGAGAAGGGCCAAGCTTCGCTGAATGTGGTCCCCTTACAAGCTCCGCCGTGCATGCGCTTCCAGCTGTATAAGCAAGGTTGTCTTAGTTTCATCGTATCAGGAGTCCCTGAATAGTATTCGCAGATACGTTGCTGATGTTCCGGTAGTGAAGCTTCCCGCAAGACCACACGGACAGTGCACATCTCGCAGCACCCGTTTTGCCCTTGCCGGTTTCGAGGCCGAAGAAGGCCCCTGCCGAGAAGGAGGGGACGACGGGGACGACAAAGAGTCGGGGCTAGAGGGTTGCGGTTGTGAGGTGCAAGCTCGAAATCTTCAGGGCTGGAAGGCTTCGCAAGTTTCGGCAATGAAATGTGAGGCTTATTCTATGTAGGGACGGTTTGAGCTAGCTTGTGTTACGGTAGGAATACATATTCGAAGCACCCCGGCATGGACCCTCGTCTTGTAAGTATTACGGAGACGGATTGCCAGCGGTTACCAGCGTGCCCCTTTGAACATTGAACTTGCGAGCAGCCTTGCTAGCACCCACAAGTCTCATACTCGCGAGATCGATTCTCCATAAATCCTTGCCGTGTGCTGTGTGCCCCTCACCATGTAGCGACATAGTGTCTTGCCAGCTTTGATGCCAGTTGAAGCCCCACGCAGAGCACGCGAATGCGAACGCCGCGGGCAGCGACCAGTCGGCCAAAGATGTGCCGGCGTTGGTGAAAGAGAGGCACGAGAACACATCCGCCGAAGACGCGCTGGCATTGTGGCCTGGCTTAACGGGCAATAAAAGACTCTACAGAGTTCGGTCTGGAGTCGTAGGTTGACTATGGAAGTGTCCATTCCTGTAAGTGTGACTACATTTGTATCTGTAAGTGTAAGTGTTTCAAGCATGGGGCATAGCAGCCGTTATGATTCCACACGTGGACTCTAAACACCTATATGAGGTCGCTTAATGGTAATGGCACACGGTAGGTTCACACAGCCTGACAGACTGATGCGAGTGGGAGCACTAAGCTCCCGTAAAGCGTGAAGCCAGGCCCCTGCGCAGTAGACGCTCCAAAGCTCTGGGGATTAAGGGTTTAGGGTGTTTAGGATATTAGGGTTTATGGCTAGGATGTAAGGGTTTAGGGCTTATAGGATTTAGCATGTAGGGTTTAGGGCATTTTAGGGCTAGGATGTCAGGGTTTTGGGTCTCTAGGGTTTAGGATTTAGGGTTTAGGGCTAGGATTTAAGGGTGTAGGGTTTATAGGGTTTAGGATTTAGGGTTTCGGGCTAGGATTTAAAGGTTTAGTGCTGAGCCCTGAATATATGAAGATACATCCCTGGCTTCGAGGCAAAAGCAAGCCGATGCCGAGAAGGTGGCCAAGCGTTGCTCATAAGTTGTAAAATCCTAAAGCCACTAAAACAACCCTAAAACCCTAAAACCCTAAACGTCCCTAAACCCCTAAGCCCCACACCCTAAACCCCTAAAACCCTAAACCCCCAAACCCCTAAACCCTAAGCACCTAAAACCCTAGACCCTAAAGCCTAGAACCCTAAAACCCCAAACCCTGAACCCTAAACCCCGCAACCCTACTTTCTTGGGTCGAGGTGAACGTCGGGAGCTTTTAGGGCTTCGAGTTTCTGGAGAGGTTTCTATTTGCAGCCCAGGCTGGTTGCTGCTCTTGGGTTGAGGTTGGGAGGGTGTCGAGGCGCAGGGCTTGGGGGTCAAAAGGCTTTGAACCCTAAACCCTAAACCCAAAACCCTAAACCTGCTTTTGGCAGCCCTTGGGGCGAAAGTTGATGTGCTATAGTGGGATTGAGGTCTCAGGTGGGAGAAGCCTCCAAGGAGGTAGTGCAAGCCAGAAAAGCCAGCAGGAGCCGATGATATGTAGCTATGTAAGGTAGGTTTCGAACTGCTGATATTGGCTGTGTATATATATATATATATGTTTATTTATTTATTTTATTGACAAATTCATCTGTTTATTTATCTATTTTCTGCGTTTATTTCTATAGCATACAATAGCATACATATATGTCTATCTGGCTCATTAAGAATGCAGGTGAGTGTGTATGTTGCATGTCCTTTTGGTGCTGCTTGTGAAATTTAAACACCACCTCATTTATGTAGACGTGCATCCGAACTTCGGACTCTCATCGTATCCCTTAAGCACTTCCAGTGCGCGCCTTGTCTGGGCAGCTTCATCAGATTTGTTGATGTACTTACGCTGCACGCTTGTAGACTACTTATTACTTGACCTATCCACCTGCCTGTCTGTCATGCAGATATGAGGGTAGATACCAGTACATCTACAAACACATACACCAAATCCAAGTAAGTCAAGAACATGCGGTTAGATTCTTATACACACATAGATCGTTCGTTATTTGTGCGTTCATTTCCAGTCTATACACGTCAGGAGAGGATGATCGTGGAGACTTTGGGAGCTTCGCCCGCAGTCAGAGGTTGGGAGGTTGGGTTGCGAACCCCCAAGTCTGCCTCTGCCCCGCTGCGGAGGTTCTGAGGCACCCTTACAAGCTGGAAGCTTTGTTGCGGCGGTGTACTTGAAGGTTCATGGGACTTAACAACCACTTATAACTGTACTTATAACCCTACTTATAACTGGGACAACCCCTATAAGGCCCTTTAGGGGTAGTATAAGTAGGGTTATAAGTGCAGTTATCATTGGTTAGTAAGTCCCATGAACCTCCAAGTAGGGTTTACGGTTTAGGGTTAGGGTCTGGGTTTAGAGTTAAGAACATGGCACAAAAAGCCCCACAACACACCCTACATCACACGCCTAAGGCGCAATTCCCGATTTTCGCTGGGGCGCGGCGACGTCTGCATATCAGGCTGGCCGGATGCCGCGCGTTTCGGGATGTGGACTATTGCCCGTAGGTCGCCTGAGGGCCATCGTTGCCGATGATGGTAGCGTACTTGGTCATTTCCAGCCGGGCTTCTTTCCCAGAGTTATCCACAATGGGGTCCCGTTTTGGAAGTCCTAAGTTGCAAGGCTGCGTCTTGTAAGAGGAGTCCAGCGCAAAGAAACAAGGAAAGCACATGCCAACTTAGGGTTTAGGGTTTAATGCGCCTTCTATCCCCCATAGAGTCCAAGGGCCCATGCTTCAGAACCCTTTAAAACGGGCAAGGGACCATATCAAGGGACCCCTAAACCCTAAACCCTAAACCCTAAACCCTAAACCCTAAACCCTAAACCCTAAACCCTAAAGAGCCCCCAATTGAGGCCATAAACGGCCTAAAAGGGTTCGGGGCGTGGGGTTTAGGGTCTTGAAGCCCTAAACCTTAAACCCTAAACCTTAAACCCTAAACCCTACACCCTGAACCCTAAACTCTAAACCCTAAACCCCAAACCCCAAGTCCTTCCTTCAACTCCGACTCTAAGCATCATAAGCAGGTGGAAGGTGCCTGGAATGAAGGCCCGCGACGACTGTTGTTGGAGCTGGGTTTACTAGGACACTTTGGGAATTTATGGTTTTGTGGTTTTGAGATTTAGGCGGGTCTAGGAAGGTTGCGGTTTATGTGGGGTTTCGAATTCAGCGACTTTCAACGCTATACCATAATCTCCCAGAAAAGATTAGGTGCCCATATTGGGGGTTAAGGGGCTTAGGGCTGGCTTCTCGCGGGGTTAGGGGGAGAGGGGGATAGGGTGTAGGGGTTTGGGGTTTGGGGTTTAGGGTTTAGGGTTTTCCTGGGAATCGCTCGTGCCATAAATTCGCGTCCGCTTCGAGAGGCTGGAAAAATGTGTCCTCGCGAAATTTCTGTCCGCTTGGAGGGGCTGCAAAAAACATGGACCAGTTAGGTACTCAGGCTTGAGAAGGCTGAACGAGCTTGGTTTCAGGGCGCGGTCGTGCCTTGTAGAGGTCTGGATTACGCGGTCAGGCTCATTATACGCGGGTAAAAAAAATGAAGCGCCCGCTTACTGACATTTTATCGGGATTGGGGTTTGGTTTTCTTTGGTTTTTTGTCGACAAAATGTCGATAAAATATGGTTTTCCTACGGGTTACGGTTTCCTACGGTTTCCTGCGGCTCACCAAAATCCCCAATCAATGTCGACATTTTATTGGGATAAGGGTACGGATTTGTAGTCTTTTGCGGAAGACCCATTTCCTGTAGGTCCTTGAATCACAAAGAGTCGCGTAAGCGCTCGCAAAGCAATCCTTTTCAATCTTTTGGGCTTCAGAGAGAAGTAGCCTCGCAGGCCTCGAGCTCACATATGGAGCGCGCGCACCAACGAGTTCCCTTACGCAGGCAATAGGATACTATTATTAGGCTAAGCCTAAAATACGGCCGCTTTGCCTACACCCCAAAAAACCATTAAAAAACCGAAACACGGCCTTTCTACGGTAAAATCCAGATTTTGCCAAAAGGACACTAATTTCCGGCCGCTAGGATCTTCAGGTTACCCTGAGGGCATTCGGGTTGAGTGAGGTTGCTTAGGATTTCGGGAAGGGTTGAGGGCGTGAGGGTGGAGGAGCTTGGGTTTAGGCTTTGAAGTTGCTCCTAAGCCTTAAGCCAAAAGCCCTGAGCCCTAAACCCTAAACCCTAAACCCTAAACCCTAAACCCCAAACCCCAAACCCCAGTTTCGGGAGCGCCTAGAGCTTCATTCGCCATTGGGGGGCTATCAGGATCCGGAGATCCTGGAGCTTCAGTTTAGAGTTTAGGGTTCAGGGTTTAGGGTTTAGGGTTTAGGGTTGTAGGGTTTAGGGTTTAGGGCTTAGGGTTTAGGGTTTAGGGTTTAGGGTTTAGGGCTTAGGGTTTAGGGTTCAGGGTTTCGGGCGTGTCAACTCACAAACCCCAAAATCCTCGGTTGCAAGGCTCTGGGATGCCCTCGGCTTGTAGGGTTTAGAGTATCGGGCGCATTCTGGTGTTTAGGGTTTAGGGTTTAGGGTTCTGGTGTTTGGGGAACCTATAAGCTTGTACCGTCAGATCCTTAAATCCTAAGCCCTCTGAACCCCTAAGCCTCTCAACCCCTATAGGGCCTAAACCTCTAACGTTAAAGAACCCTAAACCGTAAACCGCTATCCTAAACCCCCTATAGGCCCCCCTGAATCCTAATCCTAACCCCTCTGCGTCCTCCAGGCGGAAGGGCCGAGTCGATCTGGGACGTCTTTTGCCACAGCGGCCGGGCCTTGTCCGTGGCCCGGCGTCGGTTTGGGCGCGTTCGGCTTTAGAGTTCGAGGCTTAGGGGCTTACAGGCTTAATAGGGCTTAGGGCTTTAGGAGTCGAGGCTTGAGGGGTTTAGGGCTGTTTGGGGCTTTGTAGATCAAAGCGAGGAGCCCTCAGTCACGGAAGACACCGAGAAGCTCATAGTTGTGCCCCGAAGTGTTTGGGTGCAAACAGGGGGCACACTTTGTCACTCTGACGGAGCAATGGAGCCTTCTGGAGTAGTATCCCCTATACATACATATATATATATATGTATGTAGATTGCGATATAGATGTATCTAGAAAGGGAGAGAGAGAGAGAGAGAGAGAGAGAGAGAGAGGGAGAGGGGGAGGGAGAGGGAGAGGGAGAGAAGGAGATGCCGGGCCCAGGGCGTGACTGGAGATGTTGCCTGCGACCACTACCACAACTGGCAATCAGACCTAGCCGCTTGCACGTATCATGATTCATGGTGTTTTTTTTTTCTTTGTGTTGCTTCTGCTCTCTGCTTGATTCAAACAAGGTTGAGAAGTTCAAGAAGTGTGCTAGGCAGGTGAGAGCTTATGCAAGCCGATTCAAGTTGATGTTCATCTGATTAGGGCTTGGTCTTAAGGCAGGAACTCGATGCATGCACCTTCCTGTTGGGCTCCAAGACTGAGTCAGGCAGGCGCAGGGAACAAGAAGCCCAGTTCTTCGGGTGCATCCGAGCGGCCAGAAGCAGCCAGCACACCAAGACCCTTTCGCTTCCAAAGCCCTCTTGCAGGGAGCCGAAAGGGCCTCTCAAGCACAAGGTTGGCCTTCGCGCACCTTAAGCTGCTGAGCAGGCAACTCCTTGTGGGACTCCTTCTGTGGCTTCGCTCCCTGTTGTTCATGCAGGCACCCCAGTTCAGATGTTTCTCTACATCAGGGCATCCTCCGATCCAGGTCCGCCTCTACCCAAACCGCCGCAGAGTCGAAACTCGGTGGCCTCCTGAAATTGATGAAATGGGACGGTACCGACCAGGCCGCCGTCGCGTGCAGGACATGCCGCATGATGTCATTGACATTGTCGGCAATACGGCGGCGTTTGCGGCGCTTCTTGCAGACGGATCCGTGTTTACTTGGGGTAGTGAACCCCGGAGAAGCTCGGCAGGGCGTGGTGGAGATAGTGAAAACGAACATCTCCTTTGCTGCACTCCGGCACGACGGGAGGGTGACCTGCTGGGGCGACCAGGCTCATGAACGCGAGTTTGGCCTCGTCCGGGAAGAGCTTGAGTCTGAGGAGGTCGTGCAGCTGAAGGCCAACGACGGAGCCTTTGCCGCGCGGCTGAGAAGCGGCGAGGTGCCAGAGAGGATCAAAAGTCGGCTTCGTAAGGACGACTGTAATTACTTCCTTGTGGCAAGATTCTGCTAGTCCCCGAATGTGTCATACCATTGCGATACGAACCATAAGAAGAGGGAGCCCTAAGCCCTAAACCCTATCAATCCTGAGCCCTAGATCACCTGACGACTCCCTTGGAGGTGATCACCTGGGGAGATGGTAAGCACGGTGGCGACAGTGGCCATGTGAAGGCCATGCAAGATGCAAACCCCACGTGCCTAGGATCCGAGGGTTCCCTGCAAGCCTCTGAACTCCCAAATCCTGAACCCTGACCCGGAACCCTAAAGCTTCAACACTTCAAGCCGAAAAGCCTAACCCTATAAGATTAGACAAGTAGACTTTTCCTCAGGCCGCGCTACTTGAAAGTTCCCGGGTTGGGGGCTGGTTAGAATTTGCCACCTTTTGTCTTTACAACCTCGATGCCTTTTTGGGGTGGACCTTTGACAGCGACCCGAGTGAGGCCCAGCTGGTGAACGTCGTTAACATCGTCGCCTCGCAGCTGGGATTTTACGCTCAGAAGCAGGACGGGGTTTGGGTCACGTGCGTCCGAGTGCAGGCCCTTTTCTCTCGACGGGGATGCAGAAGGCTCGATACAGTCCTAGCCCTAAACCCTTAAGCCCATATAGGTCCTAAACGTGACCCTTGAACCTTGAATCCTTTAAGTTTTTCAAATCCCCACTCCATAACTGGGGGCCTGGGTTCAGCGGTCTCTGCATCAAAACGTCATGCTGCGTGTCCTCCCCCGCAAGTACTTGGGCCTCAATTCGCTTCCTCCTCCGCTTCGGAGAAAAAAGGGGACAGCAGTCCTAGGGGAAGAAGGGCCGGGGGTGACTCCACGCTTCGCCTGACACAAGAGCTCCCCTTCCCCTCCCCCCTCCCTGCCCCCTCCGCCTCCCCCCTCCCATTCCCCTCCCCGCTTTGCTCAGCTTCATCTTTCCGAACCTCTGGGCTCGAAACAGGGGTTCTGCGACATGCTTATGTTATGCGATCCGGAGGTCGCTCGCACCGGGTAGCTACAGTGGGCGATAGTGGACCTCAAATCTTGAGGGCCCTTTGACAGAGGACGGCAGTTTCGTTCGGTGGCCACTTAATGCGTGAAATGACGACTGGTGGCGTTGCTCGGCTTGCCTTCTTGCCTCCGCATACCCCCTAAACCTTAACCTCAAATGCTAATCCCAAAAGACCAGCTTCTCAGATTCCTGAAGACTTCGAGACCCACTTCTTTAGGGCTTTAAGGTGGCCGGCAGGGTCTTGATTTGGTATCATGCTCGCCGGAGTTCCTGTGGTGTTTGTTGCATCCAAGGAGTTTCATGGCGAGCACGGCAACGCTGCGCCAGATATGGAGCCCGCACTTGGCATGAGCGATGCTCTCTGCAGAGGTGCCCATGGCACCCCGCAAGGGAGGCTCTTGCTTTGTGTGGCGCTCCCACCAGCCAGTGCAAAGACCCAGTTGGTTGTTGCACTTGGCTGGTAGGTATCTCGAGCTGCTGTGGCGCTGTCGCTAGCCATGTACGTTGCCTCCAGCTTTGTGCTAACGTGGTTAGGAATGTTTCACATGCCCTTTTCTGGCCACGATCGCAGACAGGCCTAATTTCTGCTAGCTGCTAGGCTGACAGTACCGGTAGCTCATGTCAAATGCAACAATAGGCTCGCGGCTCTAAGAGCTGTTTGCACAGTGCCGTGTGGGGAAGTCCCTTAGATTTTTCTTAGCTGTTAATTATACATCTCATCAACAACCTACATCATGCAAGCTCAGCTGACACTGGGTGCCTGGAAGGGTGGCCAGAACTCAAAGGCGGCACATAGGACAACAATGCCTCACGTCCCTTCATTGGCCCTCAATTGCCCCTTGAGTGATCTGAGGTACTAATTCTTAATATACTACTACTACTACTACTACTACTACTACTACTACTACTACTACTACTACTACTACTACTACTACTACTACTACTACTACTACTACTACTACTACTACTACTACGACACATGACGCCAAAGCTGAGGATGCAGAACTGAGAGTGGTTGGCCTCACTGGATAGGCCCTTGGGGTATTTCATGTTTGCACCCCAGACCCTAAGCCCGAAACCCCGCACCCCAAACCCTTTTATTTAGGAATCTTCTTCAGAGGTTCTAAAGGGCCAACCTACAACAGAGTTTGGGTCTGGGCAGCTGGGTGCGGTGTACCATGAACTTCACGCCAAGGATCGCCACGACAAGTCGTTAGTAAGCGCTATTCCTTATAGCCTAGCCCATAAACCCAAAACCCATACCGTAACGTAAAGGGTCTACTCTAACTCATGTCTTCCTTGACCTGTGCGATCGGCCACGACCTTTTTTTGAAGTGAGATGGATTGCAAGCCCCTCTGCTGTCCTTGATTGATTTGGGTGTAGGGGTTTTGGGGTATACTTCCTTTGTGGGGTTGTAAGACGATCATATTTAGGACCATTTCGCAAAGGGTTTTTCAGTATTTAAGGAGCCAACCTAGTTAAAGGTACCTCAGATTCCGCCCCTCCCTTTAGATTCAAGGGCTGCTTTTAGAGGGACCCGAATTCCCCAATTCCTCTGCTAGAATGTGGGCACCTCTGGCAGTCTTAGCGGCTGGCATGGAAAAGCAATCCTGAAAGCGGCGGGCTTCACCTGAAGGGTGAAGCCTTTCCTTGGAAGCCGTCAGTCAAGGAGGAAGCTCAGTTAGCTGAATGTTGTCAAGTCGCTTGCTCCTGCTCTCTGGTCCCCTCTTTATCCTTCTTCTCTTCTGCCCTATGTGCTCTGCGGCCTTTGTGTTGTTGCTCTTTCTCTGACTCCTCCTGCTGCCGCCTCATTGGTTTGATTCACATGAGGAAGCTACACGAGACGCAACAGCGTCGAAAAACTCAGCTGAGGAAAAGGCCGCCCTGATGGGGGCCCACAGGGCTCAGTGCTCGACTCTGCGCTTAACAACCCTCTCGTCTTGACAGATAGAGTTATGTTTGGAGGTCTGGGAAGTCATGCCCTACCTTGTTAGGTTTCTGCATTCTTTGGGGTATTATGAAAAGCCACGAGAGCCCAAAAGTTACTCTCTGAAGCGCTTTTCGCCTGGCTTGCCACCAGGGGCCCTTGATCGAAAGTGAAGAATGTTGCAGGGACCGCCTACATCCGAAGCTTTAATTGTCTGAATCCAACCCCTAGAGCTTCACTCTGACTCCCCTGACTTACCCCGAAAGCCCGAGAGCCCTAGAACCCTAGAGCCCGAAACCTGTAGACCCCAGTCCCTTCAAAGACCTGGGGTTTGGGGTTTGGGACCCTAAACCCTAAACCCTAAACCCTAAACCCTAAACCCTAAACCCTAAACCCTAAACCCTAAACCCTAAGCCCTAAGCCCTAAGCCCTAAGCCCTAAACCTCTTCGGCTTGAGGGCCACTAAACCCTAAGCATTCTCCAAGCATCTCAGGGTCTGGTCGCGCAGTACGGCTTCAACACCTACAGGCCGATCTACGAAGCCTTAACCAGATAGGCTCAAGGTGTAGGGTAGAGGGTAGAGGGTTTAGGGTTTAGGGTTTAGGGTTCTACCTTGAGATATTTCATAGTTCTCTTATTTTGGGTTTTGTAAGAGGATCTTATTTAGGAGTGTTTGTTGAAGCGTTTCAGCGGCCGACCTTGCGGTTCATTCTCAAGGGGCTTAGGGTTCCAGGGATTTAGGGTTCTAGGGATTCAGGGTTTTGGGTTTAGAGTTTCGGCTTTGGGAATCTTTGGGGCTTTGGACTTCGGGAATGCGTGGGGTTTACGGTTTAAGGCCCTGAGGATGTTCAGGGAGGGCCTAGGCATGGTTTAGAGTTCAGGGGCTAGGGTTTATGGGAGGATCTGGGTTCGTCCGTGTGCATTTAGTGACTGCTCTTGGAAATTGTAGTAGGGATACAGTCTCCTACTTTGAACAGCACCCTTTGTGCCTTTGCATGTCGGGTTAGTTTCCTCTAAGCCCCATCAAGCCATGAAGGTTTCGTTGTCCTAGGTCACCCGGGAACCGAGGAACAAGGAGTAACTCTACCCCCATATACCCTCAACCCTAAACCGTCAACCCTGAACCCTAGACCCTCAACCCTAAACCCTAAACCCTAAACCCAAGTTTTGTGGTCTCCGGTCCGGTCAGGTTCTCGATCTCGTGGACGCGCGTTTTCCCCTTTGTCAACGGAAAGCCCACGCCCAACCAGGAAGGAATCGACTTCTACAAGAGACTCGGTGGCTTAGGGGACTTGTCGGATTTGAGGTTTAGCGTGGAAGGTCTGTGTGCTTCAGGTCCGAAGTATCAGACCCTTCCCCGCGGTCTACCGTGGTGACCCTAAACCCTAAACCCTTAACGTTCTCAAATTCTCGTATATAGTTCCCTGAGTCTCAGCACATTTATCGAGAGGTAGGGTGTACTAGGAAGGACATTGGGATATGTTATGTTTTCCCTTATTGGGTTTCATTCAAGAGGATCATATTTAGGAACGCGTTCAGAGGGTAACCTGGGATTCAGGGTTCAGCACCTGAGATGTCCAAGTTACTGCGCCAGAGGTGCTACGTTTGCTTCATGTAAGATGCACCGGCACTACACTTTTATCAAACCAGATGCCCTACACCCGGAAAACCTTGAACAACTATCTGCAAAGCCCCTAGCCCTAAACCCTAACGCCCAAACCCTAAACCCTAAACCTTAAACCCTAGAAGCCCAAAGCAAAAGTCCACGGACACAGGCTGGGTAAGGGTGTCCTTCATGTGCACGAAAGCGGCACCTTCGACTGTTGGTGCAATGCAGCAAAAGACTTCATCCGGGTCGGTGCGAGTGCTTACGGTTATGTAGGGTGTAGATGGTTGATGGTGTTTTTAGGGTTTATAGGGTTTGTAAGGTCAGTAGGGTTTAGAGGGCAAGAAGCACAATGAGCTTGTGACCTCAATAGCCACCCTTCAGAAGAACAAAAGCAGTCATCCTAAACCCTAAACCTTCAACCCTAAACCCCAAGCCCTAAACCTAGACCTTAAACCCTATTGCCCCGAGGAATATTTTGGCAGAGTTGCAGTCCAGAGGCAACTTTACCGCATCTGATGGCAGGAGAGAGACATGTCAGGTTGAGGGTTGAGGGTTCAGGGTTCAGGGTTCAGGGTTTAGGGTTTAGGGTTTAGGGTTTAGGGTTCAGGGCTTATGGTTTAATGACTCCCAGCCCGATATCCTCCAGAGCGAGGCGGCTTGGGCGTTAAAGAGGACACTGGGGCTCAGGGCTTCGGATTTGGGGCTTCATACTAGTAGTAGTAGTAGTAGTAGTAGTAGTAGTAGTAGTAGTAGTAGTAGTAGTAGTAGTAGTGGTAGTGGGTCGGAACAGTTACTAATCGTGCTCCTTCGTGGTCCCTATATAATGCTATCATAACCCCCACAACCCTATTCTAATTATTACCCTCTAGAAGGGATTTCGGGATGTTTCGGGCGGGCACTATGTGCTCTAGGTTGAGGGTGGTGTCAGGATTTGTTGGCTTTTTTGTTTTTCTCCGATGTTTGGGTTGCACAGGGTTTAAATTATGGTCTGTGTTTTTTTTCATGTCGACAACCGAACAACCACAACCCCAAACGCGCCAAAAAAACCTAACAACCTAAGACCCTAAAGCCCCAAACCCCTTTCACTTATCAGCAGCTCTTTCGAACCCTAAACAAGGCCCTAAACCCTAAAACCCAAGGCATCACACCTATGGTGACGATGTTTCATTGGGATCTCCCAAAGCAGCTGGACTGGCGATCGCCAGATGCCACCTGCCCGAAGTGATGTTTATGCTTCGAGGGCATCTTCGGGTTCGGGCCAAACCAGGGTGAATATGGTAGGGTTTAGGGTTTAGGGTTTAGGGTTTAGGGTTTAGGGTTTAGGGTTTAAGGTAAGATATGCTGTTCTGTGTTAATTACGGTTCTACAGAGGTAGTTGTGGCGACTCAGTGCGGTGAGGGTTTGCTGATGAGGCCGGTTCTGCGAATCAAGCTGAACCGAAAAGCTCTCGGGCTACTGACCGTGAGGTTTTTACTACGCGGCCTTATGTATAAGGTATCACAAGGAAGGGTCCCGAATTTCGAGAATTCCCTACCCTCTGCCCGGAACTCATGCACTCTCCAGGGCTTAGCACTTAGGTTTTATTGGGGAGCGTTTGTATTATAAGGCCTAGATTTGACAGCCCCTAGAACGAGAATCCATGAAATTCCAAGCAGATGAGGGTAAACTGGAGGGGGTGGATGGTCAGGCAGGAGTTGGGAGCCCCGCGATTCGCCAGCGTCCTCTAGGCACTGCGCTTTGAATGTGCTGACCACCTTGCACGTTGCTTGTGCGAAGCTTCTGCAATTTAGGGCATCATATAGTGTCCTGGATTTACAGACCCTAAGGCCTAAACCCGGAAGTTGTAGGGATAACGCCTCACACTGCAACATCTGACGATGTCTCCTGAGTCCCCAAACCTCGTGAAAGTTCGGAGAACAATGAGCAACCCAGGTAGTGGATCACTTCCAAGACTACGCCAAGTTCCTCCTCGACACCTTTCCAGAGGCCACCGCATCTTTGGAAGTACGCTCAAGCTTTCAGGTTGTCCTGAATGGTTTGCCCGTTTTGGGTTCTCAAATCAACCCGAAACCTTGGGATGTTCCCCCTAATTAATACCAGCAGTCCTTCATACAGATTATCATGAGGGGTACTACGAACCCTATTGAGGACTGTTAGAAAAAAAGGGGGGGACATCCCAACCCGAAACCCTCACCGCCAATAGCCGGCCCTCGGAGAGTTTCAATCAACCCCATCTGGTGTTGTTTGGCCGAACTGCTCTCCCTCTTCCTCCAGCGCTCGCCGCTCTGAGGCGTCTGGAGCTCTAGTTCCTATTGTAGGATTCCATAGGTTTACATGTGTGTTTCTTGTGGCTTGGGGCCTGAGGGCTGAGGTGAGTAGAGCTGAGGCGGTCCAAGAGGGCTCAAGGTTCTCGCGAGTTCCGTGACTTAGGCTGTCAGCACTGCACTAGATCGTTGGCCTTCTTGGGATCTCTCTTTCATAGCATCTTCGCTGCTTGATATCCCCCCCCCCCCCCCCCCCCCGCCCCCCGCCCGCATCGAAACAGAAGTGCCCTTAAGGGAAATGCGCGCCAATGATTGCCAGATGTACCTGATTTCAGGGTAGATGGTCAGTTCTCTGGAAGATGGTCGCTTAATGGGCGCCGTATTGGAACAGTTTAGGGTTCGGGTGTAGGGCTTAGGGGGACCCGACAAGGACCATGATTTTCCGAACTAAACCTATAGATGAGCTACCCTGGCTAAGTCCAAGTCAAACGGGCGAGGTCAAGCTGTGGATCTCAGTGAACGAGCCGTTTACTTTCTGTCTTCTGGGCTACCATATCGGTTCGGACCTCAGCTCAGAGATGTCTCGGTTTTAAACCAAGGAGCCTATATGCAATATAAACTGGAATGAGCTCTTTCGATAGTTTTTTGCTATAATTAAGTGGATGATATTTCTGCAGGGTCCTGTAATACACCCATACCCTACACCCTACATCTATAGGTGTCACAGTCAAGTGTTTTTGGTTCCTGTCTCTGGACGAAGCCCCCAGACCGGCAGCAGGAGACTCTGAACACATAAACCCTAAACCCCTAAACCCTAAACCCCTACAAATCCCGGAAAAACCTGGCAGAGCGGTTTAGGGTTTAGGGTGTTGGTTCCGCTCCCTTGTGCTTTGCTGGGCCACCAAACCTCAGCGAAAATAGGGACCCGAAAATAGACCCCTTACTAGTAGGATCCCCTTATCGTAAGGACCCCCCCCCCCCCCCCACACCCTAAACCCTCAACCCTAGACCCTAGACCCTAGACCCTAGACCCTCAACCCTAAACCCTAAACCCTAAACCCTAAACCCTAAACCCTAAACCCTAAACCCTAAACCCTAAACCCTAAACCCTAAACCCTAAACCCTAAACCCTAAACCCTAAACCCTAAACCCTAAACCCAAACCCCCTCGACCCCTAATGTTGGAAACCACCAGCTAAGTCTGCTTCTCCCCAGCTCAGGCATCCATGCTCCTGGAGTGCGGTCGCCCTATGACCACTACAAGTGTGGCCACCATGTGCCTTTGGTCGGGGTTTAGGGTTTAGGGTGTAGGGTGTAGGGTTTAGGGTTTAGGGTTTAGGGTTTAGGGTTTGGGGTTTAGGGTTTAGGGTTTAGGGGAAAGGGTTTAGGGGAAAGGGTTTAGGGTTTAAGGTTTGGGGTTTAGGGTTTAGGGTCTGATGTGCAGGGTGTCAGCTTCCGGTACCTTGAACCCGAAACAGCCTAACCCGAACCCCGACCCCGCCGTGTCCCCAACCCCCCAAAGCCCTAAAAACCCTAAGCCCCCCACATTCCGCAAACCCTAGAACGCCAGAACCCCTAGACCCCAAACCCCAAACCCGACACCGCAGCTTTGGAACCCTAAACCCCAAAAAGAGAACGCTTCAGGTGGCGTAGGATGCCAGAGAGCTTGTGAAAGGTCCTGCAACCCCTCAGTAGCCAGCGATGGCTTTCTTGTCATCGGGCTTAGAAGTGCAAACATCCCAAACCCCAAACCCCAAACCCTAAACCCTAAACCCTAAGCCCTGTAGTTTTTTGGGCTCAGGGCTTCGAGGCTAGGCTGTAGCGTTTGGCAGGCTGTGGGACGCTGGGTTCGGAATTCTTCAGCAAGGATGTCTCGCTTGAGTTGACAGTTACCGCCGTTCTGTGAAATCCTCGCCGTCACAATGCCCAAGCCCCTGCGTACTCACAAAACCAGTTTCAGGTGCATCTAGCTATCCTAAACCCTCCACCTAAACTCTATAAACAAACCCTAACCCTCACCAGACACCCGAATCTCCAATCCTAAACCTTATAAACAAACCCTGACCCTAAGCCCCAAGCCCAAGCTCTCTGAGGTGCTTCTTGCACACGCCAAGACCTTCGACATGTTTCAGAAGCGCTTCTCTTCCGAGTCCGGGTACAAGCTGCCTGGCGAAGCAAATTGGGGGTGAGGGTTTCGGGTTGAAGGTTTCCGTGCCATAAGTTTTGATTCCGAGCCCCAGCAACCAAACACACCATCTCCCCGCCCTACCCAGGCTCAATAGCCGACCTGGAGGTTCATGCGTACTTATAGCCTTATAGCCGGATTTACAAGAAGGATATCTAGAGTTGTAGTCCTTGATCATGGCCTTAAGCAAGGGCTCTTCTTGCGCTACTTTCGCCTACCCATGAACCTTTAAGCACAAGCAAGCCGGAGATGTCAAACCCTCATGTTGTAGGATGCTTTAGGAATCAGGGTTTAATTAGGCGGTTTAGGGTATAGGCGGTTATAAGCCCCATAAACCCTATAAACCCTATAAACCCTATAAACCCTATAAACCCTATAAACCCTCTAAACCCTCTAAACCCTCTAAACCCTATAAACCCTATAAACCCTATAAACCCTATAAACCCTATAAACCCTATAAACCCTACAAACCCTACAAACCCTACAAACCCTACAAACCCTACAAACCGTAAACCCAGGGGTTGAGCCTCGGAGCCCCCCTCGAGGATGGGCGCCGTCTTGAACTTCGATTTCCCTCAGCCCTTGGACCCGACGAACCCCGAGGACGTGCAGAGCGTCCAAGCCAACGCCGTGGAACAAATCGGCTGCCGGGTAGGGTTTAGGGTTTAGGGTTTAGGGTTTAGGGTTTAGGGTTTAGGGTTTAGGGTTTAGGGTTTAGGGTTTAGGGTTTAGGGTTTAGGGTTTAGGGTTTTAGGGGTTAGGGGTTAGGGTTTAGGGCTTAGGGTTTAGGGTTTACGGCTTAGGGTTTAGGGTTTAGGGTTTGGGGTTTGGGGTTTGGGGTTTAGGGTTTAGCGTTTAGGGGGTTTATAGGGTTCATAGGGTTTATAGGGTTTATAGGGTTTCTAGGGTTTATGGGGTTTATAGGGTTTATAGGGTTCATAGGGTTTATCGCGTTTATAGGGTTTATAGGGTTTATAGGGTTTAGGGTTTGGGCGTCAGGGTCTTCTGGGGGGGTGCTGCTCAGAGGGGTTTGGAGCTTTGGGAGGCGTCAGGGCATGAGGGCGACGAGCTGCCATAACTGCCATAACTGACTCCAGCCAGGGTTTTGGGGTTCAGGCTTTCGTGCTCAGCTCTAAGAAGCAAAGCAGTTTCTTTTGAGGTACCGGTAGGAAGAGCTAGGTCACCGCTGCAGTTGAGAAGTTCGCACCTATGGTATTATGTTCATCAGCCTATCTTCTTTTCCAGATTCCCCCTTAAATTACCCTAAGCCCTATCCCCCAAACCTTAACCCGATGCCCATAAACCCCGAATCCAAAACCCAAACCCGAAACCCTAAACTGGACCCCAATGCCTGATCCCTAAACCCTATGGACCCTGAAGCCCAATACCCTAAACCCTAAACCCTAAACCCTGAAACCCCATACAAGAACAGGTTGGTTCGGCGATCCGCTCTTCTTCGGAGACTATCCGAAGGCCTGCTCAGCACGGCTCTCTCCTACATCCCCAAACCCTTCCAAAGATTAGATCTTTCGTGTTAGAGGTAGTAGTGGTGGCATAGTGGTGGCAGTGGTGGTAGTGGTGGTCGTGGTGGTTAGAGGCTTCGAAGTTTGGGGGTTTGTCGGGCATATCGGCCTAGATCTCTAAGCCCTTCCGCAATTTGAGGCCTGGGGCTTAGGACTTCAAAACGCTGCCCCATGCGACCTACTCTTCTCTTGCATCGCCATAGGACCTTGATCCTGACACCCGCGCCTTACAAACACCCCTAAGTTTCCTGATGGGGCAGCTCGGGAAAACCCTAAACCCCAGACCCCTAAACCCTAAACCCTAAAACCTAAGCCTTCAGAGTCTTTGTGAAAAGGAAGCCAGCTCTTCAGCCGAAGAGTAAACCCAACCGACTTACGACCCTCAGTCATCGCAAGGAGCTGCGGCTGATTGCCGGGGATAACCTGCCGAATTTCACTGCGGCCGAGAAGTCACTTCTGCTGTCAGGCCCGCCAATTGTTTTTTTTTTCGAAGCGCTTGTGGATGATAGGCGTTTGACAGCTCTAGGCTCTCAGAGCCTAGACGCTTCATGTTTTTTTCGGGGTCGAAACTCCGGGTTTCAGGGTTTGTTGTTTTTTGCAAGGGTAAACAAGCTGGGTTTCAGGGCTTAGGATTTTAGGGTTTCTGTGTTTTTTGTCTGTTTGAGCATTCTGTTGGCTCGGGCCCAGTGTGCACCGCATGTGTTTCCATGATTGGCTGGTTGCTCAGAGAATCCTTCTACTCATCTGCAAGAGCTTACTTACCTTGCGTTGTTGAGTGTGATGTCAAGCTTCACAGTAGGTGGCATCTTGTAAAGGGTGATCTAAATTTTAGGCCCCTTTCAGGGCTCTCCTTCTATAGTATAGTCCTTTAAGTTTAAGGTGCGACACTGGGCTCCAGAATCCATGTGTTTGTGCTGGCAGATGTCACCAGAAGCACAAGAGTGGCCCAGTGCTGGACTTCTGTTCCACTGCTGGCGATGCCTGCAAAACCCTAAGCCCTAAGCCCTAAACCCTAAACCCTAAACCCTATTCTTCAGCCGCCCTGTGAGGTGCCAATCACCCGATGAGCTTCTACGGCCTCAACACCTACAGCGGGAAATATGTGCTGCATCCTGAGAAGTGCAGGGTGCACGCACCGCTCGCAGAGTGCAAACAGCTTCACAGCACGTGCGCATAGTGTGTGTATATTTATATATACATATACATATGACTTCGCATATACAATACATACGCATGTAGAATTAGTGTTCATCAGTTTACAAATCCTTCCACCACCGACCCCCGGTCCCCAATCACCCTGTACCTCCACGCCAATGATCCCTGAATTTTCCGAACCACTTTGACACCCGTCGGCACATGATCTTTGGTGTGACCGACCCCACCTGAGATGACCCCTGTTCAGCATCACCTTTTCCTAACTTTGTTTTGTCCGGTATCTGTGCTTGCCTTCATGTCTTCCATGTGTTGGTGCTGTTGAGAAGCACACATTTTGGAGTTGTCCTGCACTCTTGTTGGCGTTCATGTCTGTGTCACCTCTAGGGCACTGTATGTCGGGCAAGCACTGGCTTGAAGATTAGCACAGGTGCAACAACCTACACATATTCCACAAGAACATATGATGCTCAACAAAAAACACTTGAAGGAGACACCCGTTAGCAGCTCCGGAGAAAAAGCAGACTCAACAACCAAGAGGTGGTCAGCAACTATGGAATTCGGTGCCCAGAAGCTTGTTTGGTAGGGTTTTCGGCATTTTTGGTGCCTACATCCATACTGGTTTGGGATGTTCCCTCGAATACTGACAGTCCTTGATAGGGATTATAGGACCCCCTATCCCTCTTAAGGAGCCATTAGTAGAAGGGGGGGAACATCTCAAGTAGTGCTACAACTTGGACCCTCGGGGTAACTTCGGATGCTCGTGGCCCCAAAGCGTGCGTTCTGCAGTTCCCCGGCAGCCCTAAACCCTAAACCCTAAACCCTAAACCCTACACCCTAAACCCCAAACCCTAAACCCTAAACCCGAAACCCTAAACCCTATATATATATGCATATATATATATACACATACATTGGTAGATAAAACTGATATACGTTTATGATGTAAAAAAATCACGGCAGCTGCCATGCTGTTTTGTTGAGGTCGGCCCCGGACCATGACCCCCTCCATCCGTTTGTGCAGTTCTGGAAGAGCCTTGTCTCCAGTGGGGGATGCAGAAGGAGTGCTTCAAATTCTAGGGTTCAGGGTTCAGGGTTCAGGGTTCAGGGTTTAGGGTTTAGGGTTTAGGGTTTAGGGTTCAGGGTTCAGGGTTCAGGGTTTAGGGTTTAGGGTTCGGGGCTTAGGAATTAGGGTTTCGGGTTTCAGGGTTGAGGGTCGAGTGGTCAACAGGGAGTTTTGCTTGTCCCAAATTTCCTTAGAGAATGTGTTGGAAGCATTCCTGCCTCCACAGTGCAAGTGTATCATACAACTCAACGCGTCAATCGGCCTCTGTGGAAATATGAGGACCTTTCATTACAATGGGCATTTCCGGTAAACCCTAAACCCTAAACCCTAAACCCTAAACCCTAAACCCTAAACCCCACGTCTTGAGCGGTGACAGCGGTACAAGAGTGATTTGGACACTCAGTGGGTGTGGCAGTTAGTTGAGAGGATCAAGGAATCATAGAATTGTTGCATGTCCAATGAGCTCAGAATCCGAAAGCCAATGTTCAAAGGTCGTAGCAAGTAGCTCAGCCGGACTGCGGCACGGCCGCGTGAGATTCGTTCTACGGGGTCAGTAGTGGGAATGATACAGGCTGCTTTAAATCTGCATAGTAGCGGCTGTCTCTTTGCAAACGTCACAGTTAAATCTAGCCCATTCACATACACAGGTATCCGTTGTGTTCAGGGCTTGGGCTTTAGGACTTAGAGCAAGGCTGCACTTGAAGGACCTTTCTCGGGTCCAGGGTTTATAGGGTTTGGGGTTTAGGGTTGAGGGTTTGTCAAGGGTCCTCAAAGGTTGCCTGCAGCAGCTTCAAGGAGAACAGATTGCAATTGCGCTCTGGAAGATGTCAGATGACATCCCTAAACCCGAAACCCTAAACCCTAAACCCTAAACCCTAGCACCCGCAGATTCTCTTCTTTCACTCTGCGGATGCCTGGGCCAAGAGTCATGAACCTGTTTTCTGCAAGGAACCTCCGCAAGCAGCTGGTTTAGGGTTTGGGGTTTAGGGTTTAGGGCTCAGGGTTTAGGGCTTAGGGTTTCGGGTTTGCAGCTACAATGATTCTGTTCATCTCCTCTTTCAGCTGAGGGACGGGAAGCCCATTGGTGAGAGATTTATCAGCTCATGGCTGTACGGAGTACCGCAGGCTGGGGGTTTTCTGGACAGGTATCAACCGCAGAAGGGACTTGAGACATCGTGAAGTTTCTGATTGATTGGGCTTTCTCCCTTAGTACCTACCCCCCATGAAGCCCCTCCCTGAAGAACCCTAAACCCTAAACCGCATAATCTAGGCACTCTTGTTGTATTTGGTGGTCTTCTGGGGCCACTATAGCCACTGGGGCAGGGGCCGGGGTCGCTTAGTCAGAAGCCTACAGTCCTGTGCCCATGAGCCCCCACCACCTCCCTAAACCCTAAACCCTAAACCTTCTGAACCCCTGTAGAATAGCAGAATCAGTGGGGCTTGCGAACCCTGAAAGATCCTAGACTGCACCTACGAGATCCTACGAGGCTGTATTATAGACTACCATAAGCCTAAACCCTAAACCCTACAAACCCGAAACCTCCAAAGCCCGGAATGCCATCCGAAAGCCAAGCCCTTTGAGCGCCAATGGGGCACTCCCTCGGCAGGAGATCCTCCACCACCTCCGATGGGCCCCCGAGTCGGCTTGAGCACCGTTTTGTTTTGGGGTTTAGGGTTTATGCCACTAGCCGACATATCCGGACTTGATCTGCCACTGTGTTTCCTAAACCCTTTAGACCCCTAAGCCCTAAGCCCTAAGCCCTAAGCCCCTAAGCCCCTAACCCTGAACCCTAAACCCTTAACCCTCAACCCGAAAACCTCAACCCTAAACCCTAGACCCTCAACCCTCAACCCTCAACCCTAAACCCTGCACCCTAAGGTCAACAACCGGTATCGGCCGAGACAGATATACATCACCGAGAATGGCTGCTCCGATCCTGGCAGAACGCAGCTCGCCGCGGCCTGAGCTTGTACCTCGTAGTATCAGAATATAATGTTATTTTACCAATAGAATAGTATAATAATAGTTTAACAATATAGCCATATAAAAGCACAATCACAATATAATAATATTCGAATAACAATAACAATAACAATAATAAGAATAATAACAATAGTAATAATAATAACAACAGTAGTAATACTATTAATCACAAACAACAATACTACTTACAATACTAATAATAATAGTAATAAATATAATAATATTAATAATCAGAAGAAGAAGAAGACAAAAAATGCAATATAGCCATGACAGAAATTGATATATTATAAGAGTAGTTTAATATGACAGAACAGAATATGAAACAGCATAAGTAGTCGAATAGAACAGAAGAGAATCAGAAAACATGTAGCTGCAATCCAAGAATCTAACGCTCTAATCATACAATCCCTCGTCCCCAAGCATCCCCAAACCCCAAACTCTAAAGCCGCATGTGAACCTCAGGCTTGCCAGGGCAGCTTCCTGTGATCTAGGGTTTAGGCTTAAGGGTTTAGGGTGAACCGTACATGAAGAGCCGCTGTCCTCAGCTCTACGCCCTGTAGAAGACACTGGCAGCAAGCCTTGCTTCATATTGCGTGACCTCCCCCACCCCCACCCCACCCCACCTCCCCAACCAAAGTCGGAATTTTGGCTCAGAGGGGTCCATGGGTAGAAGCAATACGATGGAGTTTATTGTTCAGCTAAACCCCTATAAACCCTAAGCCCTAAATCAGAGTATGATTTCCATAATGGTACTGCAACTGGACAACCCGGAGCGGCTAGAACTCGTACATAGGGGGTGGAAACTAAAGTACGGGCCCTTTTGGGTACCCTGAGCTGTATAAGGAACATACGGAGTTAAATTCCGGGCCCTTTGTGGTACGCTAAGCTGTATAAGGAAAAAGTCTGGGCGTTAGGGCAAATATTGTCATGAATGATATGGGTTCAATGGGATCTTGTTTAGAAATCTGTTTCGGAGGGATTATCGGGGACCAACCTACGCCAGTGACTACCTTATTTTGAAATCTGTTTCGGAGGGATTATGGTTTCGGAGGGCTTATAGGGGACCAACCTAAGCCAGGGACTACACCCATGTTGAGATCGTACGTCTGGAGTAAAAGTCCAGGAGTATACCGTGAACGATTGGTACCGGATCGCGCTCCCTGACAGCAAGTGTCCGGTTTCCATGAGTTTCCGAACCCTCGAAGCAGGTGGGCATTGTATCCGTGGGAGAATGCGGTTATTGTATGTAGCCAACTCTGTGTGTGTGTGTATGTATGCTGATGGGTTATGATTGATGGATGTACACACACACAATCAAACGGAGGCTCTTTAAACAGACAAGGTTTGGGGACGGAGATATGCGGGGTTGCCTTAAGTATGCGGGCCTTTGTCAAAAGTCAAAGCTTCGAGGTTCTTCCGCGACTACCTCGCCAATGTTGCGCAGGCTGTCAAGGAAGGCATTCCAGTCCAAGGCCACTCTTGCGCTTTGTGCAGGGTGCCCAAAAGGCGATTGAATTAGTGATGCTTCAGATCTGGGTAGGATGAGTTTGATGGAGCGTGCCCGCCCAAAATGCAGTGGACTTCACCTCATCATCCGAAGTGTTCTGTGGACCCTAAACCCTAAACCCTAAACCCTAAACCCTAAACGATTGTATGATTCCGGACTGGGGCGTGGGGACACTTGGAACCTTTTTGAGACCCTTTTAGGTTTAGGGGCTTAGGATGGCTTAGGGCTCCCACAAAACGGAGCCCAGGCCCAAACTTCACCTCCAGAGCTCTTTTCGGGATTGTTGCGTGCGAAACTCGTTGCTCGTTACTTGAATTGAAAAGGTGGGCAAGAGGTGTTGGGGTCTATGGGGGGTTTAGGGTTTAGGGTCAAGTAGGGTTGAGGCATCTTGGTTGCAGGGCTCAACCTTCTGTGGGCGGCAGGATACATCGTGTGGTCACTGATGGACAACTTCGAGTGGGCCGACGGATACGCGCGGAGGCGGCCCACCTGTTTCGGAGCAAGGAATCCAAGCGTTGCAGAGTTTTCCAGGAAACTCGAAGCCCTTAACAAACGGGAGATTGCCCTAAAATCCTCTGTAAAGCATCGGCACTATACATGTCCCTCCAAATTGCGCAAGTAATGAACCTTAGATGAGAGTGCTTGTGCAACGCCGGCACTTGTAGACTCGTTTATTGCCGTGCCTTGCTCGCATGTTTGGGGCCTTGGCCGCACACGAGCGCGCCAGGGAGAGCGCAAGGCCAAATCGAGTGACGAAACTTCGCCCAACCCCACACCTACAGCTGCAGCTACTCAACCCTTACCCTTTCCTTGGCAACTTCATTCGCCAGTTGTTGTCTGGTACCTCTTCCTAAACTGCATGGACTGGGAACTTGGTTCTATCCTCATGAAGCACGTTGTTCATGTACGGCTTGCCTTTACTACTATTTGCTTACGAACCCCCCAAAAGAATATTCTTCCTTAGACGGGCAACATAGGGATTTTGATCTTCTATTTTTTGGTTAAGCACATAGTACTTTAGTGCCATATCTATCGGCCAGACTACAACGGGGCGCACATGGGCGAGGCGCAAGATATCTCCAGCAGCAGACTTAATGAGCGATGCAACAGCAGTATCATGCTACACCCACTCTACCCTAAACGTAAAAAATGCTGAACCTGAAGCCCTGAGCCCTACACCCTAAACCCTAAACCCCAAACCCCAAACCCGAAACCCTAAACCCCAAACCCCTAACCCCCAAACCCTAATCCAACAGCAAGTTACCCATATTTGATCCCCGCCCGGCAAGCAACAGGTTCGGCATCACCTACGTGGACTTCCAAACCCAGCTGCTCGGGCATTCTTTGTTCGGGGTTTTAGGGGTTCTAAGGGTTCTAGGGCTTTTAGGGGTTTGGGGGGGGGGTTTAGGTGTTTTTAAGGGTCTTAAGAGCTTTTCGGGGCTTTTGGGGTTTTTTAGGGGTTTTAGGGTTTAGGGGCTTTGGGGTTCAGGGGTTTGGGGCGTTGTTAGGGGTTTTTTTAGGGCTTGTCGAGGGGTTTTCGGGTTGTAGGATTTTAGTGGTTTTCAGGTTTGGGGTTTTAGGGTTTGGGGTATAAGGCAGTAGCTTCTCAGAAGGTTCGTGTCCCTTAGGAAGGGACAGGCCGTGTTCTGCTCCGGAAGTTAAGCTAAGGTTCCACGAGCTATGGAGTCACCACAATAGGTTTTTGGCATTGCCTCGTAGCACGGAGAGTAAACTATACGGGGAGCGCAAATTAGGGGCACATGTTTTGGGCTTTCCGATAAACGGGACTATACAATTTTGGGGTACATACGGGGCAACAGAATTCGTGGTGCCTTAATCATTTGTAGATGTGCTTATAAAAGCGGCTGCATACATTCCACAAGCTCCTGTTTCTACGTAACTAAACTCTAAGAATGGATGTTTAACTGCATTGAATGTTGTATTAAGTAAATGCTCCATGTATTGGCTTGCTTCTGTGGTTAAGTTATGAAATGTTTAGGTATATCAGCAGTTAAGATGAAAAGTCATGTCGCTGAGTTTCCTATGTAGCGGTTTTATATCTGATGTAGTAGCAGTCGCACATACTTCAAGTCCATCTGGTATTGGAAAGCGTTATCCATACAACTCAAATCACTTAAGTAATCATACTCAATGAGATTCTTGCAAAATTAATTGTTAGGTGCTTATGTAAGTATTGGATGTCGTGGGTCTGAGTATGACGTGTGATCTTGGATACTATGTTAGAAGAAGGTTTGAATGTTTGAACTGATGTTTTACAAGCTAACGGAGTGACATTGAGAAAAACATGTGGCACTTGTTTGTAGGGCACACGGGGTTGCTTTAGATGAGCCCTAAATTACAGCTGGGCTAGACCGATCCCTAAACGCACATCCGGAACCCTGATCCGAAGTGAGAGGACATTCAGACCTGGAGAAAGCCCGGTACCTTCAAGAGAATGGGGCGAAAACCCCAACGTAATGCGACATACAGGCAATACACACTATTCTCTATTCTAGCGACATACAGCAATACACAAGATTCATTCTCTTGTCTAGTTGTTACCTAAACCCCCTACCCGAAACCTTGAACCCTCAAAGAACAAAAGCCCTACACCACCTCAACATCCTTAAGCCCAGCTGTCCGATGTCTAAGGAAGCGGACGCCAAAGCTTTCGGCACCTTGTCTGCAGAACCGTACTTGAAGGTTCACAGATGGTTATAGTTTAGGGTTTAGGGTTTAGGGATAGTCGGCTTCTAGACAGACCAGATAGGTAGATAAGCACTTGAGTGAGGTCATACCAAGCATACCTACAGCTACTAACTCCAGCTAGAACCACCATGCAGCTATCCGGCAGAAGCCTCCGAGTAGGATGTTGACTTCATGCTTTAAAGAGCTAAGGCTTCAGAGTTTTCGTTCCTAAACCCTAAACCCTAAACCCTAAACCCTAAACCCTAAACCCTAAACCCTAAACCCTAAACCCTAAACCCTAAACCCTAAACCCTTGGATGTGATCAGAGGTTCTGGTCAGGGCTTGGGTTTGGATGACTGCTCCGTTCATCGGCCAAAGACTCTTGGGCCTTGGGTTTCCCCAGGTTTAGGGTTTAGGGTTTAGGGTTTAGGGTTTAGGGTTTAGGGTTTAGGGTTTAGGGTTTAGGGTTTAGGGTTTAGGGTTTAGGGTTTAGGGTTTAGGGTTTAGGGTTTAGGGTTTAGGGGATTTGCTCTTATGACCCCACCATGTTTGGGTTTAAGAGCATCGTACTTCTCATGATTTTAGGCATTCTGTTTCAGAGTGTTCAAGAAGCCCGACTCGGTGTTATAGGTGTCAACCGCAAGCCTGCCCTGAAGCATCAATTGTGTTTTCTTACGGTTGTAGTTCACATTAATATGCTGGATATTACATTACGCCGCGGCTCACAGCGCATACTATAGGAGTCGAAATAACTACCTAATTTATATCCCCTTATGGTCCCCATATAAGTATACTGCAATAGCCCCCCCAAAACTCTATTTTAATTTGTCAGGCCCCTATTTGCGTTTACGGAAATAGGGCCCTCATACAGACCCCGCACATAGTAGGATTCCCTTATATTATAAGGTACCCCCCCTAAATTCGGAAACCCTAAACCCTCAACCCTCAACCCGATAAACCCTAAACCCTAAAGCCTAAACCCTAAACCCTAAACCCTAAACCCTAAACCCTAAACCCTAAACCCTAAACCCTAAACCCTAAACCCTAAACCCTAAACCCTAAACCCTAAACCCTATAAACCCTAAACCCCAGGCTTTCTGGTGGCTTCACCTCAACGAGCGGATGGGAGTCCCAAGCCCGACCGCAATCTCCGGGGTGGATGCGGCTCATGTGTACAAGTAGGGTGTCGGCGCATCACTTGCTGCAGATTCGACTCCAGGTTAGTTGTTACCCTAAACCCTATAAACCCTATAAACCCTAAACCCTAAACCCTCATGTTTGTGCTCAAATGATAGACCCTGGGCACAATCCCAATGTGAAGCACTCCTGGGTTGAGATCTTGGCCCGTTCGGTTCGAGGTAGGATCGGCTTTAGGGTTTGAGGTGTAAGGGGGTCTACGAGGATCTTGTGCAGGAAGCGTAGGGAACACTTTCCAAGGGTTTAAAGGAAGCAACCTACTCGTAGTTGAGACACATTGTCTTCCTCCATAATGCCATCTGGCCTTAATGCTATCTCTCTAGCTCAATGTGTCCACCTCTACCTACCTATCTGTCGCTCGACCTGAACCGTTTAATGTAGGACCGGGAAGGTTGAGTCTCTTCGATTTAGATGATCTGTGGTTGTTTTTTTTATTGAACAGTTAAATGTACAGGATGCATCAACACGTACTGAGCCCCACACCCGAACCCCCGAGCTCCCCTAAACCCTAATCCCTAAATCCTAATCCCTAATCCCTAAATCCTAAACCCTAAACGCTAAACCTAAAACTTGGAGCTGCGCGACAAGTGATCTTCCGCGGCCGGCCGCCGAAGTGTGCGCCAGAAGGCAAATTGCCTCGCAAGCGCTGCACCCGCCTTTAACATTCTGCCCCTCCTTGATCCACAACAATGTTGTTTCAGTAAAAAAGTATTCTTATATATATATATGTAATTTTTCACTACATGCACATATATGTATATATGTACATATCTATATGCGGAGATTTAGTGCCCGAAGCTCGAAAACCCTTAGCTCCCCCCATCACAGAAGTTTTCGTTGGTACAGGCAAACCCCTGATGCTGCAGGTCATGGAAACCCTTTGAAGTGTGCCGGACTTGCCAGTCGTCGGGGCTTACAGATTTTGTTCCGGATCCCTCCCTGGTCGTTTGCCAGAGAAGGGGTCCAAATACAGCCCAGGGAGTCGGCATGTATCACTAGGGCCATCGGCCTGAAACACGTAGATTCAAAGAGGGCTTCTGCTCAATTTGACGTGGGCCATCCCTTGCTATGACAGCATCATTCCCAGCACATTTCTCAGAGTCCAACCGGCCTTACTTGAGCCTGCCGGCAGATGGCTGGTAAAGCATTTAACTAGCCCAGCCGTTCTAATTCACTGCGCGCTTTCCGTTTGGGCGAAGGTTCCCATCCTAGTCTGCCGGAGCTGACCGGTAATTGCTCATGCGCCGGCTTTGCCTAATTTCTGCCTACTTCTGAAGTCGACAGCAACTCTGAAGTATGCAGTGTGGGGATGCCTTCGGGGGAATGCGCCTGGCAGCTCGCACATCTCAGAACCGAAGCCTAGGGCTCGAAGTTTGAGGTCCCTCAGTTTCATGAGCCCTTAGTATGGTCCCTTGCTTTCGTTAAAGGTTTCTGATGTATGGGCCCTTGGCTTGTATAGAATATCTGAGGGGTATATAAGGGGTCCTCTTTAAGGGCCCAGACTGCGGTGCCATGCAACTACCCTGAGAGGTTTGGAATACCGGGCGTTTCTATTGCATCATGTGAGGGTCGGGTTTTTCATTTCTAGTATCCTCGAAAACACAACCCTTCATTGGTCCATATATATATATATATATACACACCAATGTACATATATGTATAGGAACCATACATATATATATATATGTTCTCACCAAGAACAGCAATACACACGGTAACTCATGCAGCCTTTACCTGCGGAACATCCGAGGTTCTGGCGATTGAGCTGAAGTTGGGTTGCTCATATTTCATTCTCGGAGCGTCCCTACTCCTACTTACTACGTGCCCCGATCGTCTAAGTGAACCATGTCCAAACCATTCATTCCCGACCCTACAAAACCGACATGTAATACAAATGACATTGCCTCGGCCCCCTTTTACGCCATTCCCCGAGCACAGGCGTGTTCCCAAAAGCTCTCGAGTAGGGAGTGCTCGCGCCTCACGAAGGCTCGATAGTCAGCCTCGCCAGCTGCGCCGATGCACGCAAGAATCTGCTCGACAACAGGTTCAGGTTGGGATGTTCCCCCTTATATGAAGAGTCCTTAATAGGGATTAATTATAGTACTACCTATTCTAATCCCTTTTAAGGGCTGTTGGTATGAAGGGGGAAAATCCCAAGGCTTAGGGCTTGCCGTGGGTTTTGGGGATGTTCCTTTATGGTAAACACGCGGGCTCTTTCCCAACCCTGTCCCCACGAAAGGACCCTGGTGCATGTTGGAAAGCCCTAGAGCACCCTAAACCCTAATCCCTAAACCCTAAACCGTAAACCGTAACCCTGAACCCTTAACCCTAAACCCTAAATGCCCCTAGAGCCCTCAACCATAAGTGCCACCCCACCAGTGCGAGGCCGACGATTGCGCGGAGGCTGATGCCACGAGGCCGTGAACTTTCAGGGTTTAGGGCTCTAAGGGTTAAGGGTTTAGGGTTTAAAGCTCGAAGGGTTTAGGGTTTGGGGTTTAGAGCTTCCCGGCTTCAGGACCTGTGGGTTTCAGGGCCAAAGTACCCACAATAACAAAGTTACGTGAACCTTGTTTTGGGTGGGTAAGAGTCAAGGTGCCCTAACCCTAAACCCTAAAACCCCAACCCTAAGGGGCGGGGGGGGGGGGGGGGGTACCCAAACTAGCCCAACGAACAGCTAGATTGCGTTCTGTTGTTGGCCTTTTCGGGGATAGGGGGTAGCACTACAAAACCTCCTTAAGCCCCCAAACCCCTCAACCTCTAACCCTAAACCCCAACCAACGCCTAGACCCTCAAACCCCTAAAACCCCTAAAAGCTCCTAAGCCCCTAAAAGCCCCTAAACCCCTACAAGCCTCTAACCCTAAACCCCTAAAACCCCTAAAAACGCTTAACCCCTGAAGCCCCTAAAACCCTAAACCCTTGGACCCCTGAAACCTCAGACGAAGCCGCGAAGAGAGGCTCCGCTTGGTTCTGTGGCCGAAAGGCCAACCAGGCGCGCAAAGCCCAGTCTTTAAGGGTTTAGGGTTTAGGGTTTAGATTTCGGGGTTCCGGGTTTGGAGGGTTTAGGACTAAGGGCTTAGGGTTTTGGGGTTTGCATGGTTCAGGGTTTAGGGTTTGGGGTTTAGGGTTGAGGGTTTATAGGGCTTGTGTGTCAGGGTTTGAGATTCAGGGTTTATGGGGTTGTGGAGTTTAACGACTAGGTTTGGGTTTGTGACGTCTTTAGGGTTTATAGGTCGGGCCGGCTGGGTACCACCCCACCCACCTCCACCCAAGCACTCCCCTCCCTATGAAAACAAGATACAACAGTGTTCGAAGCATAAAATCTGTAGTCTCTTGCTCTGTAAATGTATCATTCTTATAGTATGTATCGCTGCTTCTTTTTTCTTCTTTTCGACATATGATATATTGACGTACCGTGTATAGTCCCTGGAGGTGAGGAGGCCACGAGCCGAGAGCGCCTGGCGAGGTGGTCTAAGGAAGCCAGGCGCGGGAAAGGGGGGGGGAGCGGGGTGGTAGGCAACGGGCCTATATGGGGGTGTAAAGATTTAGAGTTTGGGATTTAGGGTTTAGGGTTTGGGGTTTAGGGGTTGAAGGCTTTGGTGGCTTAGAGGGTTCGGGTTTGTGGCTGAAGGGCTGGGCAGCACAAGGTTTGACAGCTTTCGGTTCAGGGCTGAGAGGGGCTCGGGGTTTAGGAGCCTCAACCCAAAACCCTAAGGGTTCAAGGCGCTAAGGAGTCTTAAGGGCTCAGGATTTGGGGCCTCTATCGATTTAAAGGGTTTACGGCGTTTAGGGGGCTTAAGGGTTCAAGCTCAGGCAAGTGTCAGGGTTAGGTTTAGGGGTTTAGGTTTCGGGGTTAGCGGCCTGGGTTCAGGGTTGGGTCCGTGGTGTGTGGTTAAGAGGAGTTGCAATATTTAGAGTTCAGGGTCAAGTTTAGGGTTTGTCTCGGTCTTCAAGGGTCCCTTTGTAGCACTACCATAGATTCGAAAACCCCATTTTTGGTATGCATTGCATGCCCTGACTAAGATGCCTTGTAACGCAGCGAGTAACGCAGACTTCTGCTGACATCATTGAGGCAATGCTTCAAGCTTTAGTCTCGCGAGAGCTTCAGGTGATCTCATCACGACTCCATAAGTCGTGCTTTATAAGGGGCATAAGGAGGGACCCCTAGAAGGGACCCTTAATCCTATTCCCCTATATATAGCCCATTATATATAGAAATATACCTTATATAGTCCCGAGTAGCCCCGAAATAAACGCTGCAAAACCCCTAAGGCCCCTTATAAGGGCTCCTACTTTAGTCCCTTGACTTTAGCAAGCCACCACCTTCCACGTCGGCAACCTCGGGTTGTTCTGAGTAGGCCTCCCTGTAGCTTGCTTGAGACTACCTGGGGCCCTCTTTACCTACGGTTTTATGGGTTCTATGTGCTAATTTGGGGTAGTTACTACTAAACTGTAGATAAAGAGGGTCCCAGGTAAACCCATGAACCTCAATGCAGCACGCAACCAACTAGTATACTGCACTGGAACTTCCAGAGTACTTAGAGGTTCATGGTACTTAATAACCCACTTCTAACTGTACTTACATCCCAATTAGAACCATATTAGGGTTATAAGTGCAGTTCTAATTGGGTTATTTCGCACCATGAACCTCCAAGTAGCCCCTTAAACCCTAAACCCTAAACCCTAAACCCTAAACCCTAAACCCATGAACCTCCAAGTAGGTACCCTACCTCCTAAGCCTCCCTGCGTGTCACCATGTGTCGAGCCAGGCGTGAGCTCGGATGCCTCCCGACAAACGTGCCGAAGGACGAGGTGGTCTAGGGTTAGGGTTTAGGGTTTAGGGTTTAGGGTTTAGGGTTTAGGGTTTAGGGTTTAGGGTTTAGGGTTTAGGGTTTAGGGGTTTAGGGGTTTAGGGGTTTAGGGTTTAGGGCGATTGCCGCAGGCAGGGCTTTCTGCAGTGCGCAGCTCCTCAAACGACCACTTGTTG